CGAACATTATTTACTTACAAATTAATGAAAAGATAAATTTGCTGCCCATACATGTTCGGGTTAAAGTCACCGGTGTATATAGACACTATTAATTTGATGACAAGAAATTCGATATAAAAATAATTATTTTAATCTATGGAAACAATAAAATATCTTCCCGTTACCTGTTTAGTAAGTGTATTGATAAACAAGCAATTATCATAATATTGCAAGCAATCAATAAGTCCCATACCGGTAAGAACCCCAGCAACATTCTGATGGGCAATTGGCCATTCAGTTTTACCAGTGAATGAATGACATGAATGAACTTAAATCTTATGAGTTCTAAGTTTGTCTATATCAAAGAAATGTGTTAAGTTTCCCTACCTAGTAAGGAATTATGCTTATACAACCTTGTCATATTATTAAAATGTGGGATTTTAAAGTAAATCCTATAAGGAATGAAGAAGTTGGAGTGAAAAATACCAATTTCTCGAAACAAATCTAAGTTCAAGGGCGACATAATTCTGGAAATAGTCTTTCTAGAGTATTTAACCTTCTCAAAAATGTTGAGTGATAATAAGAAACATATACATGTATATGAAGTTTTAAGTAGATACATTAGGAAATAAAGAAGTTATTTAAAAAAGACATTTTTTCATAAAAATTCTAAGTTCAAGGAAGGCCATACTGATACTTTTGTGCTAGAGTTGTAAACCTTGTCACATATGATGTGGTTGCTGACCAGAAACTTATATTTGAAGTTTAATGTAAATACCTTAAAAAATAAAGAAGTGAAAAAGCTAAAAGATTTAGATCAGAAATCTTGAAATTCAGTCTATTTGTTGCCATAGCAACCAGAATTTTTCAACATAGGAAGAAAAGAAAAAGATGTTCATAATCTCCAGACTGCCATCTATCCATATTTCATGTTTCATAAAAATATTTTCAGTACTTTTTGAGTTATCACTGGATCCAGTTAATTTGTTTAAATTTGCCAAATTTTCAGACTATTTGTTGCCATAGCAACCAGAATTTTCAACATAGGAAGTAAAAAAGACGTTCATAATCTCCATACTGCCATCTATCCATATATCAAGTTTCATAAAAATATTTTCAGTACTTTTTGCGTTATCGCGGGATCAAGTTTTGTTGACGGACTGACAAACTGACAGCCAGACGGACAGACGAACGGAGGGTAAATCTAAAGTCCCCTCCAGTTAAACTTGTAGGGGACTAATAAGTGTATTGATAAGCCACTTGGCTTTTATATTCTTAACATATAATGCTAAAATTGTAATAAATTTCGACTCATGATATTTACTAATTACTCCAATGCTTAAATGAAATTACAGATATACTCACACGTTTCAATGAAATTACAGATTATACGCACGCGTTTTAATTAAATAACATATAATTATACCACGCGTTTTAATTAAACAATTCTTTGTGTGGAGAATATCATAATGTCCAATAATTGGAGCTTCTTAGCAGCAAAATATTGAGGGTCCTGAAACTAATTATAAATAAAAGAAAGAGTGTAATTACTATGTTTTGATAGCAAATACTTAATATTTTTAAATGGTGCCATCTTTCTTCTTTATATTATATAATGTCTATAGTTTGTTAAGTTATTTTTTTCTATATGAATTATGAGAATATCATACTTAACTAATAAATAACAGAACATATATATTTACCAGCATCTTAACCCTGTTAAGAAGAATTATCAAAATTTGTTTCTTCTTTCTTTCTTTTTCTCTTTCTTTCTTTCTTTCTTTTTTTAATTCTTTTTCTTGAACCAAAGAAATTACAGGTTTAGTATTGAGGAAAAAAGCCGTTATTGTGTTGTACAGACTATTGTTATAGTCAACTTTATATTATACAACGATAAAAGCCTATTGAACGGGAATTTCCCCTTATTTCTATTCACCGATAGCTGTAAATTTGCCAGTTAATAGAAATAGACGCTTGGGAAAAAGAGATAATACCGTAAGATGTTACATCGTATTGGTCGATTAAACAAATATATTACTGTGATAATAGAAAAGAAATAAGCCAGAATTTTGTATTATCTATTGTTGGTAACAGACCAATATTGAAACTGTTACGGATGTTAATGACCTTCAAAATTTAGACGTTTTGCTCTCACTGACATGTTAAGTATTATTAAAACTGAATGTTTTCTCGAAGAACGCAACAGAAAGTAGTTGTTTGTAACATAAATTCGTTTGAAACTGCGCTTGTATCAGTTTGCCTTTTCTCGCTTTTCATTATACAAAATACTACTTTCAAGACGCTATATGTTGTGATTTAATCATTAAAAGAACTCTACTGAGGTCCAAGTGCTTAGAGAAAACATAAAAAGTGAATTTCTTACCATGATTACTTGAGACACGTTAAACAGAAAGATATGCAAAGGATAATTCAGAAATATTATCTAAAATAATTTGTAAATCGTATTTGTGCTAATAGATTATAAGCCCGGAGTGAGTAAATGATATGAAATTTTGCAAAGTTATTGGTCTAGAAATGCATCAAAAGGGATATTTTTATCAAGTCTTGTCATGTCAAAAAGCCTCAGTGGAGTCCAATAAACTACGTACTTTTGCTTCTTTTGTTCCGTCAGTAATTGGTATAGTTAAGTGAATTAGTAATTTGTATGGAAATCAAAATACTACTTAATTTTGTAACCTTCACTGCACATTACTAAGCTTTCAGTGCTACTTCCTTCAGTTATTTATCATGTAACATGCTTTAAATCTATTATCAAAACATTATTAAAGACATTATTTAAGTTAGATATTTCTAAAGAATTAAAAAATATGGATTTCTGAGGCATAATATGCTTTTTAAGAATGACAGTGGATATAAATAATAAATTTATTCTACTTTATAGTCGTTTTGTGTTTTCATTTGTTAATTGGTTTTCGTAGTTTAGTAATCTTTCAAATGAAATAATGTGATTTTCCGTAATTAAGTTAATTTGGTGTAAATATGGTTAACGTGAAACAACAGTACCGTACTATTGTTTTCATTTTTACTATCATTACATTTCATTACATTTCATAGCCTAAATTTTAGTAATTATACTACATTTTATATTAGATATATTTATTGATAATAAGTATTGGTAATTTTACTGTTAAGATTGATCATATATTAATATAAGACTGGAAATAACTTATAGAGGTCTGCTCTAATTTTCAGATCATTCCTTTACATTTATTTCCAGTGTCTAATTGTATGTATGTTTGTTCGTTTTTTTGTACTTTATACATACAATGCGAATGTTTAAAACCGAGGCAAATACTTATTCAGGTACAGATATTATTTGACACATACGTGGAAATATCTAACACATCGTCTGACAAGCATATTTTTATATGTGTAAAAACAACAAAAAAACAACATATAATCAAAATAAGGTACCATCGGCAACGGATGAACTTTTCTTGACGATAATATCATCCAAATCAACACCTCCAACCAAACCTACGTTATCGTGTTGAGGTTTACGACCCTCTACAATCATTTCGGCAAGATTTATTTACCTTTGTTTTCTTTCAGATGCTGTTTTACCTTTCAAAAAATAATTATTTCCATCACATAGTACTGCATTGTATCACTCTACAGTTTACATTGAGTACATTCAATTAAATACGTTTTACTTAGTTTACAAAATTTATTTTAGTGCGATTGTGAATGAAGCTATTATCATATAAACATAATTTTTAATCCGTTCCCGGAGCCAACTAATACTGAACAATGTGTAACGTTTCTTTGTTGAAAACAACAGCGACTTGCTCCTTGTGGGTATGAACCCATACGCCTAGCAATTCTCAGATTTCCTTTCTCTGGTTATATAAAGATATGATTGCTGCATGAGTTCAAAAGCCGCATACTTAGTTTGACGTGTTCAACCCACAGCCATTCCGGCACCACTGTTTAATATACATATACGCTGATCATATGTAAAAAGTCTGAAATAATATTAATACATAAAAGATAATAGAACAACATGTACACATTTTCATAATGTTCAGTGAAACCTAGACTTTATTTTCTTACTGTTATTGTCTCCTTTTGTAAGAACTCATATCTCCTAACATACTGTCCCCAAAAAAGATACGCCTGACGTTAATAAATTGACGTTAATTTTGACAATTCTTAAACTTCAAACGGACTCTTTCAAAAATTCAAAGGCAGAACATAACCATTACAAAATTTCAACAGGTTGATCCGGTCGATCTAAACATTCAAAATTAAAAATTTCTAGAATTGCATTCAATCGACTCATAAAGTTCAATAAAGTGCACGTTAAAGTACATCATTAAAGGTAGAATATCAGTTGGAAACAAATGGAAACTTGAAACAAACGAAACAAAAACAGAAAGTATGAACTAAGGCAATTTTCACAGATAATAAAATGTTTCAAATGAACCTTTAGAAGTGGCTTGGTAATAAAATCAAGCCATTCACTAAGATCGCTTAACCGCATTTTAGAGTAATTAACTAAAAGGTGTATTGTATTTGCTTCATTAATCAGACGATCTTAGCCTAAGAGTACAGTTTTAGTAAAGTTGTTATCAAGGTTTTATCCGTCATCAGTCAAGATGTAAGGGACAAGTTTTGCTTTTATTTTAAATATGAAAATGTCCTTGTTGTTGTTGCGTTTAACTTTTTCAACACAGTAGAATTTGCACTTTCCAACTTTACTTTACGTCGCAACAACACTTGTTAGCTGTACTTGTGGAGAAAACACCCAGGTCCCTCCTTTATAATTACATGTTGTTTTTTATAAAATTATATACCCGATTTTTAGACAATGATTGTTTTTAATACTCTGATATTTTATAACCCTGATGATCGAAACGATTAAATAAAATCTTCGGTTTGCCTTTAGTGACTGGGTCACCAATTTAATGCGTCGTAAAACCAAACATAATAAAACAAACATTAAGCCGCACATTCTTTCTTCCATGTTAAATAACTTGTTATATTTTCATACATTTCAGACTTGACTGACGCAGTAAGATGCGAGTCAAACGAAGATTGCCCGAAGGGCAGCAACTGCCCTCTTCAAGATATAGAGATGAAAAATATATGTTTTTGTGTACACACACTGAAGCCTGTGAAAAATGGCACGGACTGCAATGGTAAGCATAATTTATTATATAAATATAGTAAATTTGTCATTTTTAGACCATTAGCCTTCTTATTTACTGAAATCGTGTTTTAAAATGCATAATGTATCATCCTTATAAACATTCTCATCATTAGGAGCATTGGCATGATCATATTCATTATATATGCTGGTGGTTCCAATCCCGCTAGGGACTTCGGATTCTTTTACAATGTAAGAAAGTTATATCACTCATTTATGAAACGACGGTGGATCTACTCGGGTGCACGTTCGTGACTGGAATAATACACGGAGGGGCACCTGAGGTCTGGAAATTCGCCATATGACCCCATCTGTTTTGGGGCGACGTAAAATTAACCCCCCCCCCCCAAAAAAAAAAAAAATATATGTCGCCATCAGCATCATTCTCGTCGTCGTCAGCATAATATTCTTCTCTTCTACTAAATGTTTACTATGGTACAAAAAAAGTTAATTTTATAGCGGAGTATACTTGACTGAAACCGAGTCTTTCACATTGACAGAAAATACTTCAAGACTAGTTTTTTCTTATCATTTATTTCTTGTACAATAATTGCTAAGAATGTTATATCCCAATGTTCCATTTTATTTAGTTCCGCCCATTTTTTCTTTTTTATTTCTGTTTAGGGCACATGCATTCATTTACTTTGGGACCATACGCCGCTTTTCATTGATGACAGACGTGAATCATTGACGGTTCCATGATAACCCCCGTAGAAACACATCTGCAGATGTTTCTAAATGCAGAATTTTACCATCTTCATATTTAAATGTTAAATTCTACTTTAGCTGGTGCTAGAGGTGCGCGGACGGCAGCTAGCACTAACGTCCCATCTTCAAACCAAGCATGAAATATCTTCAATTTTGCCGTTTTGTGCGTTTTTTTTTTAGAGATTTATTTTTCTATTTTATGCCAGAATATACAGCAGACCAACAGGATGGGAAAAGTGGCGTAATTCCTATATCAGACACACATCATCTCAAATCACCAAACCAAGCCAAACATCCCCCAGACTATAGAACATCCGTCGACAATTCATCAATGGTACGTCATTTGTATGATTTTCATTATGAGTTAAGTGGTTTGGTCTATAATTGGCGTTACAATAGGCAAATTTCTAGTATTTCAAATAACGATATAAAATGATAGAAATGTTTTATTTTGGTTATTCTTTTAAAGTATTCCTTTGGAAAAAACCGTTCTTGAACGCCGTCATTTCCTTTTAATCCTGTATTTCATATTTCGGTGTTCAAAATATGTTTGCTTAAAGAGAAAAATTATAACGATCCTTGAATGAGTCTTTTATTGTTTAAATTTCTTCATATAAAATTTATCTAATATGTGCTGCTGTGTTGTGTGAGGTGGGGGTTGCGTTCAATAAACGCCGCTCTTTCTAGTTGATCTCGTTATTTCATATATTATCTTTAAAGAAATAATAGGTTATATTTTCGCACATGTGTTTATATGTATATGACTTTTCTTTTCTTTTTTATTATTTTCTTCTTTTTAAATTTGAAACTAATTAGATAAAAAGAAACTAAAATCGGTAAAGTTGTGTTGCCTATTGATATGGATGTACTTTTTGTTTAGATCTTTTGAATAAAACTTGTAAATGTTTCTTCTGTTTTATTTATTCAGCAAACAACATCAAATGTGCTGATGAGCCATTCAGGCTTGGACACGTTCTCAGATATAGCTCTCAAAGTTTTACTACCGGTGGGGTCGGTATTGATAATCAGTTTTGTCATGCTCTTCATCATATTGTCATATCGATACTTCCGTGGTTGCCACTTCCGGTTAGGCCGGAAGAATAAGCGCGGGAAAAATAGTGCCATTGTCAAGGCAAGTGAGGATATTCAACTCTTGGACAAATTGAATGTTGTAAATAGAAATCCGTCTTATTTTGGAACTAATGCAGAAGGATATGGCAAAAGGTGGATCATAAATGACATTCCAGTTGATAATGTAAGATTACAAGAAGTGGTTGGAGAAGGAGCATTTGGTCAAGTTTATAAAGGTATGTCAAAGTAAATTATGCATTTCAATATCATAATGAAATTGTAACAGTGGTCATATGGTGGATCTATTCATTACTATTTGTTAAAATTGTTCATACTAGCTTTTAACTCAGTGATTTATTAAGGATTGGTTCATCAGAATTGCAGCCATAGTTAATCCCTGACGACTAAATGGGTTCGAATTACTAAAGTCTGCACACCTCTTAGCTCCATCAGGTGGTTTTGTTTTGTTATTATCAAGGTTAGCCAAAATCTTCTTTACTGTTAAGGCGCAAGATGACCTTAATTGTCTTGTTGCGCCGTAAACCAAACATGGTGCTCCATAAAACCAAACAAACAAATAAACAAACAAAAAATGTAAATTGTGTAATAGGGTTATACGTTAACCGTTCTTAAACAGCAAACCTACAACTTGAATATGTGTAATCTATATTTTATATTTTAAATATATGTTGAGTATATTTATTATGCTTTAAAAGAAAGTATCGAACATTCCTTTGTTTTTAATAAAATGCAAAATAACGTTGAGTTTGAAGATGTACTGTATACGTCACAGTAAAATTGTTGTCTGTCCTATTTCTTTTAGGCGAGCTTGTGCAGCCAGATTCAAACGAAACTACATTAGTAGCCGTAAAAGTGTTAAAAGAGGGCGTGTCTAACGAAGCACGTGATGACTTTGAACGCGAGGTAGAAATCATGAGTGCCTTTGATCATGATAATATTCTGAAACTTATAGGGACTGTATCTACAGGTGAGTTTTGTTGTTTTTCTTTTGAACAATGCCGATTTCAAGACTATTTTATAAGGTATTGCATCACAACCACCTTCAATTTATGGTAGATGGAAGCGAAAATTAAATAAAAGAGTGAACAATGAATGGTTTAAACGATTAAGAAAAAGAGCAATACAATATGATTGCTGTAAAATCATTTTAATAGAAACAATTATTCATAGAACAAAGTTATTCATAGTATATAAACAAAATAGCTTTGCGGGATATGGTGTTAAAATATAAGGAGTGTTGAATGGTGATCAATAATTTTTTTACACAATTTTATAAAATAGAGAAAAACGGAATCTCTAAAAAACGCCAAAAAACGACATAATTGAACATGTTGCAGGCTTGGATTGATTGAGTCTGTTCATGGACGGTAATGGAAAGTGCAAGTTACCGTCGTAGCACCCTTGCTCCGGCTTAAGCATACTTATTCAACATTTACTGATGAAAATGGTGAATTTTTTAATTTTGAAATATCTGCAGATGTAATCAATCTCTCAGTGAGAAGAAATTATACTGTTCATGTAAATCAGAAATTGCTATACAGAGAGTCGCACTGGGGTCAGGATGTACTGATGAAGTGAATGCAATTTGAGACACTTCTCTCCATATTTCAGGGAACAACGACACCCCGTATATGGTGTTTGAGTATATGATGCACGGCGACCTGGCAGAGTTGCTAAGAAAGAATGAGCCAACTATAAAAATGGCTGACACGTCCTTAATTCTACAAAAGGTAGTGAGTGCTATATTAAATTTGTATGACCATGCTCTATCAAAGAATTTAGATTTTATGTCGAAAAATTGACAGCATTTGAAACGCCGTCGTAAAATTGCTATAGCTCTAAAACCTTGTACGGAACACGTCGCCGAAGATTCATAATAATCTCGGGGTAGTTACGGATTGGATATAGTTCTGCTTATAAATCTTTCATGATAAACAAAAGAAGGATGGTAATTATAATAAATGAATGAATACAGTAGAACTTCTATGAGTCGAACTTCGATTAGTCGATTTTCTCGATGTGTCGAATAAAAATGGAAGTCCCGACTTTCCCCCCTATATATTCCTTATAAAAACCTATTTATGAGTCGAAATTTTATGTGTCGAATTTTTCGTTGTGTCGAGGTTTTTTCGTGGTCCGTATAAAGTAAATCTAGTGCAATTTACCACAAATAAGTCGAAGTCGTTGGATTGTTTTGACACCTTTGACATCGAGACATTTTTCACACCTTATCTGTCTGCGAAGACGATTTCCAATCAACTTGTGTGATAGGTGTTAATAACACAGCCGTGTGTTCTTACAGCCTTTGTTTGCGAAAAAAATGTGTGATAAAATGCTTTAATCGTAACTTTTTTAATTGCCGTAGTGGTATTTGAAAGTAAACAGTAAGAACTACTTCACTACTTTCATTTGAAAACATCCTTGACCCGGTGTCGCGTGAGAATAACACGCGAAATATTTACTATAAGCTGGTTTAGTTATCGCCCTTTCGTATTCATACGCCTTTTGTAACTCTTTGGGTAGTGGTGAAAAACGTAATTTGACATGCTATATTTATCATTGTAAAATTTAAAGATAAGATTAATGATGGAAAAACATGAAATATGTTTCGTTATAGAGCTTATAATTAGGACTGGTCACGGAACGAAATTTTGTCATGGAATTGAGAGCGATTCATGAGTCGAAGTCCCGATGTGTCGAAGTTTTTACGCAAGTCCCTTCAACTTCGACTTACCGAAGTTCTACTGTATATCTCTTTGACATATGCTTAAAAATGCAAGCAACCAGATCTTGTTCGATAATGTTTAGTATACATTTAATTGTTCCATAAATAAAGGCTAATACGATAGATGTATATCAGTCAGGAAGATGAAACTGCAATTTTTACTTCTTTGTTTTTTTTTTAAAGATATTGTATATTCATTTTGATAACCATGGTGACAACAAGATATTTTAGACATTTATATTATATTAAAGCGTTAGTATTTTATTGACGTACTTAATAATGTGTACTTTTTCAGACTGATCTTGTTGACATAACGATACAGATTGCCAATGGTATGAGATATCTGACGTCACAGCATTTTGTCCATCGTGATCTGGCAACGCGAAACTGCCTCGTAGGTGATGGATTGATTGTAAAGATAAGCGACTTCGGGATGTCACGTGATATTTACACTTGTGATTATTATAAGGTAGGTCAAAGTTAATTATGTCTAAATTTTAAAGGGACTCTACTTTGTTTTCTTTTTTAAGATATTTGTACCATTTGATAAAAGTTGTGTGTTAAATGTCAGATTATTTGCTCCATTTGTTGTTGTTTTCTTTGTTATTTGAACTCAGTGGAGTGCCTTTAAGTATAGTCTAATCACATTTACGATCTTTCAGAAACATTTGTTTTTATTTTATGGTGCTTTGTATTCTATTCCTTCCTATCTAATTTCTTTCATTCAAGCTGAGTTCTTTTATTCATCACATTAAATGAATGTAAGGGCATTTCCTGTATTTCTTTGAGTTTTATCACTGAGATATTGCTATTTTTAATTATAGTTAAAAAATCCTCTAAGCAACATTTTGATAAGAACTTCATATATATCAATAAATTTATCCGAGATTTTTTTATTTTTTAGATGAGCATAGTTTATCTTTAAATAATATTATAATTTAGAATTAAGGTTTGTATGTACTTATTTTCTTTAAAATTAAAAAATTTAGGTTTATTATATTTATCTATTTATTCATTTATTAAGATTGGGGGATCAAGAATGTTGCCGGTACGATGGATGTCACCAGAAGCTGTGAAATGGGGACGATTTACTACAGACTCTGATATATGGGCATTTGGTGTTGTTCTGTGGGAAATCTTCAGCTACGGGCGACAACCCTACTATGGACATACTAACGAAGAGGTAAACTGCTAATTTTTTGAAGTAAAATATTTAATTCTGTACATACCTGCAGTCTTGAATGTTTTTGAAACACTATTATACTAAATCTTTATTGTATAAAAAAAGCAAAGAAAGTTGTGAAAAATAAAGAAATGCCCCTTTTAAAACAGTCGCAATTAGTATTAGGTAAGGTGTCCTAAATAGATTTGTAAGATACCAGTCAACTAGCAGGCTTAGACATAATAAGAGTCGCTAAGGATTGTTTCATTTTTCTCTGGTATAAATGATATAATACCATTGAAAGCGGTTGGGTTGGGCGTTGGTTAATAATGAATTTATTTTAGTTTTTAGTTTGCTGATGTCTTAGAGACTGGCCGGACGCGTTAAGCACACGACAATGCCCCCCCATTTCTTACGGGGCGATGCTACCGTTGTTACCTAATACATTTGGCTTATATAATTTGTTCTTTGCTGTATGACAGCTTTACAATGCTGGTCATTTCTAAACCTTTGTGCTGTCAGAATTTTGGTACTCCGGTATCAATGATTCCAATAAGTTTTGGGTCGAAGATTGAATCTTAAGCCGGTGCTGAAGTGAGGACATTGAAAATGTTGCACCCATATAATTATCTCACCTGAACAGACACTGTCAGAACTTGCAATTTGTTCCTTTTCATAAGCGATTTAATTTGAACAAAATGTTACCATCAAATATTTAAGTCTTCGTTTATAGTAAGGTGTTACTTCTGTACTTAATTATTTGATTTTTTTAATTAAACAAATCTAATAATAAAATTGAATCAATTAATGTGTAGTGAATATGACAGCGGTTGCTTATAAGATATATAATTGCTTTATTTAGGTTATTAAATTTCTGGACGAGGGAATTCTACTGCAAAGGCCCGAGGAATGCCCATCTATAGTTTACCACGTTATGTTACAATGTTGGAAATTAGATCCTAAAGAACGATTGGCATTTGACAGGATCCACAAGTATTTGACTGAATACAGTAAACAACTTCATAAATCATCAAAACCAGCGTCATTCGATGTGGTCAATGAATATGAAATTCCTCTGTGAATGCATAAAAAAGCATTACAAAAAAGGCTGTGTTAATTTTTCTATTTTCATTTCTTGTTCTTAAAAACAAAACTGTCAAAACAAATATTTTACTGACCTTAATTAAATGGCAGACTTACTGGAGTTTATGCAATCATGATACAGTAACTCAACCGAATTCATCCAATATCCAAGAAATATTTGACAAGGTGAACAGTAATGGATTCTAGATCTTATTCTTTTTCCTTTTTGTTGAGAACAGACATTTTCACACTCTCTTAGATGGACTTCATCAGATGTTAGCACAGTTTTATTTCTTATATTTAAAGAGATTAATGCCAAAATTTGCTAATTGACAAACTCGTATTCACTCAGTCATGACTGACGGTTTCACGCTTTCTAGTGTGGTACAATTTCTGTTTCAAAAACGTATATACAAAGTTGCCTTTAAAATGTCTACGTCATATTGTGCTAAGGAGACAACAGACAATAACTGTTTGTATAATTGTGTTTAGAAATATGTCTTTTATTGTAACATTGAAAGTGAAAAATATTTCTGTTATTGTAACATTGAAAGTGAAAAATATATCTGTTATTGTTACATTGAAAGTGAGAAATATGTCTGTTATTGTAACATTGAAAGTGATAATTTGTTTACATTACAGTACAATTTATCAAATATGTATTAATAAAATGTGATTTGTTACCAAATAAATCTTTTAAATAATGTTATTGTTTACGCATGCCAGTGCTGGACGCTGTTTTAAGAGAAGAAAACTATTTTTAGTCTTTATTTATATAGATATTTACATTGTTTTATAACAAAACTGTTATGGCAAATCTAATTTTGAAATTTCGAGGGAGGAAAGGTACGCTTTCAATTGTTTTGAAAGTCGATTTCAGTTTGCTGTATTCTTCCGCTTTTGGAGAGAAATTATATCTCAAGAAATTAACTTAAAATATTAAAAGCTGCATTTGTTTACCTTTCGTTAAAAGCGAATTTCAGGTTACATTTGCTCGCCTCTTGTTTGGCATATTTTTTTTGGACAAAATGGCCCACGATTTTTTTATTGTTGCAATTTTGCATATCCATATTCATATCCGAAAGACTAGCACACTTTTTACAGTGTTAAATACGACTTTTAGGGATCAATTTATTGTATAATTGTAATTTTCAATTATTTTAAGTTTAGTCTAAATTTTAAGTGGCTTTCTACTTAGTTCAGTTTAGTGTTAAGTCTGCCGCTTGTCTGACTTAAAATATAAAAACACGAGAGTTATTTCTAAATTCAAATATCTTACCTTTATTTTGTTTGAATGATAAATTCTGTCACGTCGGAGCTAAGAGCAATGGACAGTTGACTTAACTCACCACTACCGTTCATGAAACTGGCTAAATTAAACCGAGCTTGCAGCATTTTTAATATAACCGTTTTTAGCGGTTCTGTATACCAATTTGAAATGATTGTATGATACCTGCTTACTTTATTTCAAAAAATGTGTCTCTCTTAGTACTATTTGCGATTTGTATCATCATATATGCCTCGGATTTACGTAAAATACGAGAAAAAAGATCAACAAGGCAAAGGCAACATTCACAGGACGCGGTTCAAACACGTAATTTAATAATATCTTAAAACATTTATAATGATGTTTTGATAATCATAATATCATAAGTATATATCAGTAAATGTGATGAAATGAGTGTTATAATGTCTGGTTTTGTTTGTTTACAATTTTGATTTTGACTAGACTTAAGAACATTATAAGCTTCCAGTATTGCTCTGTTTATTTTCTTGCACTATTTAAGTTCAGTGATACTTATGTTTATACATTGATCCACAAAAAGACTTATCATAATATAAAAACAATTAACGGGTTTGAAAACTGAAAACAAAAAAATATAATTAGGTGTTTTTGTAAGCTTTTTACATTAAGTATACTATATAAATATAATTCAGCTACTTTAATGTGATTGAAATGCTTTAAACAGCAAAATAATTTGTTCCATGAAATACATTTCTTTCTATTGTTCTATTTTTTTATTTCCCTTATCGGTTTAACGCAAATTTGTGTTCCTTTAACTGTTCAAAAAATCTTTACTTCATCATCCTAATATACATGTAGATGTTTCAATATTTGTTCACTTGTTAATTCACCAGACAAATCAAAATACTTGGAAGACCTTCACTCATTATATATACAGTATCATCACTTATGTTTTGCATACTAAAAACATTTGTACAGATTTGACATGTTTTATATTCATGGCACACATAAAGCATTTCATGGCACGACTTTATTAGAATATACTGTAAATAGGAAGATGTTCTAGAAAATACTAGACAATCAACAATTCAATATCGTATAATTTTTGAATATTGATTTGAATTACCTAGTACAACATACAAAAGTTATACTTAATAGTAATAATAAGTGAATATTAAAGTGTAAAAACAATATCTCTGCAGGCAATCTTTTTCGCTTGAATTTTTAAAACGAATATGTAATTTCAATATGTCTGTTTAAAAGAATTATGTTAAAATAGCTTTATAATTCTGTTTATGTACCATATTCATAAGTGGTAAATAACAGAGACATTTGATATTATAACTCTTTCGAGGACCAACCATTAAATTATGGAAACATCATGTTTTTACCTTTATTAAATTGTATAAGAAAATATTTCACTAGATACAATTTTAACACTTAAAGAGAACAAATATTATCCGGAACTCAGCAAATGTGGCTTTTCTCATTTTATCCTGGCGTATAACCTTTATAGTTTGACGAGACACTTAAGATAGCACAAATATTGATTTTCGATTTAATTTTGAGAATATAAATTCCATTATAACTTTGAATGGTTTCCGTTTAAAGTGCACGAATTGATCGAGGTAAAAGATTAAATTATTACCTTTTTTAGTTTCTTCGGTGGAATTACTTTAAAATATTTCTATTCAAATTCAATTTAAATAAAAACTTCATTATCTGAGTCTCAGTTTATATTATGTAAATACATGTGAACATATACAATCGTCAAATCAGAAGCAGTAGTAGACATAACAAACAATATAATCCTGTCAAAATACATTTTACAAAATAACTTATCTACATATGTCGGGATGTGATTGAACTTTACACACCTCCTCTATTGTTTGTGACAGGTCTATTTTTTCGGATAGACCTGTTTAAACAAAAGAAAGTCCGTAATGAGCTCTATCTTTTGCACGTGCACAGGTCTTTCTAGTCAGACAGACCCGGTCATGAAATACACGTGAAAAAATAGTCCTGCCTATGCGTAACCAAAGAAAACCTGAAATGCAATCAAAAATTAAAACCCTTTTAACTAAGCCATTATTCCAGCATCCCTATATTAAATCTGCCCGCCTCCAGATGAGCCAAAATATTTTAAGAAAATCAATACAATGTATTGAGAAAAAAATGTACCAAAACTTAAAAAAAAGTAAATACATTCAAGATCCAAGGTATATTTTTCATGTTATGTGCTACGCCCTCTCGGTGTCACATGAAATTCATGACCAGGTCTTTCCTAAACAGAAAGACCTCGTACTCGGTCGATATCCTATACGTACATGTTTAAAGTATTTGGAATGTTATAATCCCGAAGATCAAGTTTTATATGTATTATATTTTGACTGTCTAAAATTATTTTAAAGACAAATGTTATCTGAAAACGTTAAATATTGATCATTAGTCGTTTTGAAATAGTAATTTACTTAAGGATCATGTGTTTTAAAGCAATGAGATATTTATTATTAATATGTACATTACTTGTTATTGTATAAACTTTATTTGTTGTCATACTTATTGTTAAATATTGCAAATATAAAGAGTATTTGTGTTTGAAAATAAAACCAATAAATCTATGAATTTATCCTGCCTAAATTTATTTCTTCTTCCGAAATATTTCAAAATGGACTACATGTATAAGAAAAGCATTTTGTGACATTTCAGCCAATCTTTTCTTCAAAATTATATTTTTTGAATTTATACTTGTTAGAATACGCTAATAGTAGAGTGTGTTTTGTAACGGATGGCTACGCATCATGGTTGTTTAGAGGGTACTAGGACTTTAGAATATGACTATTAACTTTTTTGAAGGTTAATAAAGAAATATTTGCGGCACATGTTTACATTTAAGTGAAAATTTAAAAATTTAACGAATATTGTATAAAAGAGGTATGATTATGATTACTGTAGGTTCCGCTATAATCTATTGCATCATGTTTTTATTATGAAACGTTATGTGAAAGCAGTGTTATCAAAATAATAGCACTTGTAGAGACTTTAAAGTAGTTAAAATCAATTGAAATATCTTGAAATTTTTATTCCGCTCGTGAAGTTTTACCGTCGTTCTAATTTACATAAAGTATCCGGCTCTAATTAATGTAAAGTATCCTCTAATGAATATTCATACATTGTGGCGCCGGCGGAAAACATGTTTATGAAAATCATTCAGAAACAATAATACACCCAAACACAATATTAAAAGCAATGGAAATTATTCTCATACTTTTTGCTTAAAGCTGCTAATATTAAAAAGACAAATAATTTCAAATATGTTGAGTTCGTTTCCCAGTTTAGAACAAAAGGAATTATCATTTTCGATATTTACAAATATGAATATTTGAGATAGCTTGGTGAATTATTATCATTTTGATGTTTGACGTGTACTAACCTTACGTCATGATCATATATTTCAAAAGATTGGTTATTAAAATAGTATTTCATATATCTCTTTTAGTTATTGCTCCGCGCCCACAGGCGCGGAGCTATTTGTGTTTACTATTTTTTTGTCCATGGGCCCGGATTTGAGCAATAAATCCTTTCGATTAACAGCTAAAAGTAAATCCGCATTCAAGAACTCCTTTCGATTTCTATATTGGTTTCCCGTCAGTGATTCGCAGCATGTCATATTAATGCATGAGAACCGGAAAGCAGTTCTGCTGTTACATAAATTCGAAAGCTATAAATAGCTACAAACGTCACTTAGGTTATAAATTTGTTATTTCCCTTTTTTAGTAGTACATGAAATTATAATTTGTTACATTTTGAAATACATTTTCACTCAGCATATCAAGTATACTATTAGTTATTGAATTGTCAATATAAAAAAGATTTCAGGCAAAAGAGTTTAACAATTTTGCTTTTGATAATAATTTTTAATTTATATTTATGAAATTAAATGTTTAATAATAACATGTTGAAATATTGGTTGTTTTGAAATAATTAAACTTTAGTATATAAAGTTACATTTCATTAGCGTCATTGGCACAGTAGTAATGGTCGAAAGTTGCATTAAGAAGCCTTACGAGCGGATGGACCCTCATTTAGGTGATTCCGCTTTGACAGCCAAGTTTGGTTTAATAAAGTCTGTGCATAGTGAAAGTAGGCCAAAATTCATATAACAAGAAAGCTCACATTGTAATATGATGAGCCATTTGCAAGTACACTTCCAATTCTATGTTTTAAAGACTACTTTAAACAAAAATAAAAATGATCACAATAAGAAATTTACCTTGAATGGGCTTCATTTCTGAAGACCAAAAACATTCTAATGCAAATCTTTATGCACATTTCATGAATGGCTAAATCTAGTTTAAAGTTTATTTTAGAGCAAACAAATGCTATATTTGAAAATGCAGAAAATACAAAAACTTCAAAAAACATAAATCTTAGAAAAGTAGTTTATCTGACCTTGAAAAAAACATTACCTCCATGACATGTGTAAAACACTTTTTAAGTAGTACCATGAAAATAAACGTCATTCACCTATTTCTTGTGTACATGACAAACAGACACACTTCACTGTTACACATAAAAAGGTTTGATTTTAAAGTTTGATTGCGTTTTCATTTTAATTGTAGTTCATAAGCTATAAATGATGATTGTTTTCTTGCACTACTTCTTTACAAAAAATAATGGAGGCCATGTGCTTAGAAGGACATGAGATACTGATTTATTTGGAGTTAAGTTTTGAAAGATTTTTATATTTGCTTTTGTTGGCACTAAAACAGACTTTTTAAAGGATTTTGCCATTCATGAAATGTGCATAAAATTTTGCAACAGAATGTAATATAAAATATAAACCTGGAAGTGTATTTTCAAATGGTTAATCATTTTACAATAAGAGCTTTGTTGTTATATGAATTTTGGCCTACTTTTACTTTGGACAGACTTTATTTAAAACAAACATGGCTGACAAAGCGGAATCACCTTAAGCATAGGCTATATATAGTTATCATAACAACAACAGAAACTTTGATCTGCAGTTTGAACATGAAGTGTAATGTTTTTTATGAATGGTTTTAAAGCAATTAATTCAACAAAAATATACATTGATCTCCCTAAAAATTAATTAACAATAGTTTTTTTTTATATATTACCAATGTCAAATAGCTTTCATATCTTTGACTTTGTCTCGCACGAATATGATATTAGTGAATTTCCTAATACCTACTTAAAATTCAGGTAACAGTCTTCTATTATATTGATAAATACTGTATCACCATGTAACGCGTGTATAACAAACAAAAAGAAATCCTGAATTTGGTCTTTTATAAATTCATCCCATTTTTTTCATTCCAGAGTGTGTTCTACTTTCAGTATTGAAAGAAACCATTTTTTTTAATTTGACATGAAAAATATGCGTGTAATATTACTACTAGTAGTCCCTTTTGTTACTATTTGTATATTTGTTACAATTATAACATATTCTGATATTTCTATCATCTATCTTCTGTTACTGAAACAGAACATGTACAAGTCTTGTAAATCTTGTTTGTATTCAATGGAATTACTTTCCTTACAAGGTAGGCATCAGTGAAAGCATTTTTATATTAGATACCCCCCTCTTTTTAATTATGGACAGTGCATAAGATAAGTATAATTATGCACAAAATGGTTTACAAAGCATTCGGAAAAAATCTACAATAGTACTTAATCTGAATATAACATGACCTGTGCGTAGAAATAATTTGGTAAGGTATCTGTAATGAGCACATTTTTTGCGCGGAGCTTCTCAATTGCTGCATTGCAGCAACATTTGTACTTGTTACATAAAGTTTTATAAAGTAATAAAATAACTTTCTGCTTAAATATAGATAAAGAAAAACACAGTTTACCGACTTAACATAAACTAGGCAGTAATCAAGGAGAGTGCAACGTTTGCAGAACTCGACTTTTTAAAGTCTTCAAATATAACGTCTTATATGTTAGCTCTCCTAAATGAAAACCCCTTTGATGAATATACGTGTATCATAATATGAAGCTTAATTGTGCTGGTATCATAAAAAAGATACATCAACCGAGTAATGTTTGTGGCTTACTTTAGAGGAACGACACTTATATGGCTATCTATAAATCGTTTAGTCAGAAAGAGATACGTTATACGGAAATCATATTCGTAGAGCCGATTCCACGTTTGATTGGGTTTATAGACACTTCCTGATGAGATTTCTATCAACATAATTGATAAACCCATTATAATAATGTATATAAAAGCAAATGAAAAATAACCATATAAATGTTGATTATATACTTATAAATGTAATATTGAGAAATATAGATGAATCAAAATCCCCATTTTCTTTTTCCGTATTTTCACTGTAAACAATTACTTTTCACTGCAGTGAAACGTATTTTCCGGTTTTTTTCCATTGGAGTATTGTCGGACTACACAAGGTTTAATGCCCACCCGGTTACCCTTCCCTTATAAATAAACCATTGTCGCATTTTGTATAATTATGTATGCTTCGAAAGTCTGCTTGATCATCTGATAAGATTATATGTTCATCTTATTAAACTCTGTGGTCCAGTAGCAGTAGAATAATAATTGAACTTCAACTTCGAGGTAAGTCTTGTTTAATTTATTATTATATTGCAAACTTAACCCATTACTGCATGAGCATTTGATTTACATTTTGACAAACTTGTGTCTTATTAATTATCATGGATGTCATTGACATTTACATTAAGTACAACTAGTTTTTTTTATCACCCCTTATTTATATCAATATAGAAACTTTTATGGACTGTTCAAGTACGTTTTTCTTCTATGTAGGTATAAACAATTTTGATGATGAGCTTTTATTCCTTTTCATCTAAAGTTATTGTAAACAGTTTTGAAATAGAACATATTTCGTTTTCTTAAGTCAAGCATGAACATTTCAACATATGCACAATGATTGGTCCTTGATTGGATTGTTAGTACTGATTATGATTTTTGATCCCTTTTCTTTGATTATATTACCCTTCACTATTTTTGCAATGTTTATTTCCAATAGGCCAAAGGGATTTATACTTACTGTTAATCCAAGTGTACCGTGTGATAAAAGATTTTGTACTGTACACAGGTATCAGTACTTTTTCACAGTAAAAATCTGAAAAAAATAAATACTTAAAGAATAAGTGTCCTAATAAAGTATTTGCTCGGGGTAATAAATAACACATAGGTTTAGAAGTAACAGCAAAAGCAAAAATATCATCCCTCGTATAACACCTCGGGTAACAGTATTTTCTTAGGATAATATTTTTACTGTAACTAACAAACCTATGTGTTATTTGTGAAAGAAATGTTGTCAGACAGTTCTTTTTAGCCTGGACCTGATCATTTTCTCCCGTTTCCATTCAAACTTCGGGGATGACTCGCGGTCAGATATGGAAATATAGTTTATATGACACAAGGCAGGGTAACGTAACTGACATTGCTTTTATACATTAAGTCTTTCTTCACAAATGTAATTCTAAGCTGACTTCAACAAGCTGATGTGGATCAGAATTGTAATTACGGAATAGGTCAATATATTTGATGCGGTAATATTTAAATTTTATCTAATCTTGTCAGAAGAATTTCCTTCCTATTTGATA